TATCGGTAAGAAATGTTAAACAATTAAAGAAAAACAATATGCTCGAACAAAAATACCATCCATTTGCAATAACTTTAAACACAGGTAAATGAAAATAATTTTGTTGTTAGGTATACGTGTACAGTACCAATAGAGAAAGGAAATATTTTTACAAAATAAATAATATAGAATACAAAATAAATAAACTAAGGGAAGAATAATAAAAGTAACATATTATATCGGTAAGAAATGTTAAACAATAAAAGAAAAACAATATGCTCGAACAAAAATACCATCCATTTGCAATAACTTTAAACACAGGTAAATGAAAATAATTTTGTTGTTAGGTATACGTGTACAGTAACAATAGAGAAAGGAAATACTTTTACAAAATAAATAATTTTGATGTTCATAGTACGAAGTAAATATTTATAGTTATACCAAACACTTATCAAAGCTGGTATATAGACCAGATATAACCCTGAATAACATTAAATAACAAAAAAGCAATACAATTAGTATCAACAGGTCAAATAAACAAGAAAGTACGATTTGAGAGTACTCGCAGTTACTGACAGCTAGTTAAAAGCCAAAACAATTAATAATAAAAAATCATGCATCAAAGACTAAAATCAACTAAAACACATCCCAGGGATTTAGTATTTTAACGTCATGGACAGTCAAAGAAGACATGACTAGTGCAATGCCAAAAATAAATGTATCGACAGACAGTAGGATAGTTAGGAGTTTAACCTCTTTATAGATCTAAACGATCAACAGTCCATTAAACTCAAATTCATTGTTTCTAAGAATTAATTTAACAAATGCAGTTAAATCTATTTTGTTGAGAATCTTTAAAGTATATTCTTCTGTTTGTCAATTAATTCTAATGCATTGATAACAGTTTCTTCTAAATTATCAATGATCATATTTGTGTACATTGACGTACATCATAGGCAATAAGAATGAATACTTTTTTTTACCTCGTGTGACTCTATTTTATTAATGATTTTTTTTGTATCTTGAATGTAAAAGTTATGCCTCTTCAATAATGGTTTTATAATTAGATCAAGTATGTATCTCTCGCGGGAGAGTTACACTTATTGTTGATTGGTCGGTAACGAACAGTAATGTGTCCTGCTAGCTGACCAGTTCGCAATGCCTCATTAGTTATTTCTAGATTAATTTTATGAATTTTTGGAAGAAGGTACATGTGTCCCCCATGTTTTTGAATCATTATTATTCTTTAAGAAATTATACGTCTGGGAGTCTATTTTTTTTCTCCTTGCTTTATGTTTAACACTTCTCTCAACATGCCAAAATTGTTATGATTTACAATAAAAAGAAAATATTATCCTCCACACACATGGCCAAGATAACACTGATATATAACTTCTTATTCAGTTGAATTAATAATTAGAATAAAAAAGTTCTAAGGTTCACGTATTGTCTTTTTTTTTTTAAAAAGCAACTTGTTTTTTGCTTTTCATTTTGTGCAATACACTATTCTGTTGCGTATTGACCCCCCCCCCCCCCCCCCCCCCCCCTTTTTTTTTGCAAAAAAAAAATAATATTTGAAGAATTTTTCTTTTTAATTTCTGAAATCTGAAATGAGAAACAATTGACCCCACCCCCCCACCACAATTTCTTTTAACCCCTACCCAAATTTTTTTTTTCACCTCCCCCCGCCCCTTTTTCCCCCAAAAAAATTCTTTCCCTCAAGATATGGTCATAATCTCAATTCAAATTTCCAATGGAGTTTGCAACCATAATTACCCATTTAAATACATCATTAAAGTCTTAAAATAGAAAATGACATACATAATTATGGCTAAAATTAATATTCCTTAATAGTAAATTCTAAAAATAAATTGACAGCTAATCATCTCAAGACAATACAACATTTCTTTATACATAATTTAAAAGCAGTGTAAGGGAGGTAATCAAAACGTTGTGTTTGGATTACCTCCCTTACACTGCTTTTAAATTGACCATATCTTCAGTAATTGTCCATTAGGCCACAGACCACAATTAAATTCTCTATTAGTTCTTTATAACGTTTTGTTTCATTAAAAAAATTGCACTAAATCTTTTTGTCAAATATTTTGTGTGTGTAAAGTACAGTGCTAGTCCAAACATATATCCAACATTCAGAAAAATTGCTCCCCAGTATCTTACAAATTTAGCCAATACACATCCATACCCCTATGGACAAGTCAAGAGATGTTCCGAAAACTGTAAATATCACCTTTTTGCACCTGGCCTAATCACTCTTTCCATATCAAAATCAGATAAAATACAACATCCAAAAGTTTATTTCACACCTCTTCTTTTATTTCCACCCCCAAAAAAAACTAAGAAATGAGTGAGGAAGGGAAAGAAAAAAAATTAAGAAAAAAAAACACTCTAATTAAAAGGAACTATATTCTTGGACGATGAAAAGTGGGATCATTAATTGTTGTCTGGGACCATTAACCAGGAAACCCTTGTTTTTCCCCCTTTTTTGCCCCTAATTCCTAAACAGTTTGAGCCATAACCCCCCAAAGCAAATCCTAACCATCCCTTTGTGGTATGGAAACTTGTGGTATAATTTCAGAGAGATCCATACACTGTTCCACAAGTTATTGTCTGGAAACTAGAAAAATGCTCATTTGGGCCCCTTTTTGGCCCCCAATTCCTAAACTGTTAGGACCATAACCCCTAAAATCAATCCCAACCTTCCTTTTGTGGTTATAAACCATGTGTTCAAATTTCATAGATTTCTATTTAATTATACTAAAGTTATTGTCAGGAAACCAACTGTCTTCGGACGACGCTGACGATGACGACAAAGACGTGATACCAATATACGACCGCAATCATATAATAAAATGCTCCGCTGGGCGCAGCTTGATACGACCGCAGAGGTTGAACCCTGAACAGTTGGGGCAAGTATGGACACAACATTCAAGCTTGACATAGCACTGAATTTGGATTGTGATTAAATATTTGACACAGCATAGGTTTCTGACACATAATGAATGTGGTCTAAGAACTTAATTTTTTTTTAATTTACCTATTCAAACCATATCATTATTATTTGCTTTTATATATAAATCAGAAATAACCAATTTAAAATGGAAAATTTTAAAGAAAAAAAAAGGAACCCCCCCCCCCAAATTTTTTGAACCCCCTTATGATTCATCACCCCAAACTCAATCACAGCCTTCCCTTTGTGTTATGGTACCTTGCAGTACAATTTCAGAGAGATCCATACACTTGAACACAAGTTATTGTCTGGAAACTAGAAAAATGCTTGTTTTTTGGCCCGTTTTTGGCCCCAAATTCCTAAATGATTAGGGCAATTACCCCCAAACTCAAACCCAGCTTTCCCTTTGTGATATGGAACCTTGTAGTACAATTTCATAAAGATCCATACACTTACACACAAGTTATTGTCCTGAAACTAGAAAAATGCTTGTTTATTTGCCCCTTTTTGCCCCTAATTCCTAAAATTTTGAGGCAATTACCCCCAAAATCAATCCCAGCCTTCCCTTTGTGGTATGGTAAGTTGCAGTACAATTTCAGAGAGATTCATACACTTGAACACAAGTTATTGTCTGGAAACTAGAAGAATGCTTATTTTTGGCCCCTTTTTGGCCCCTTATTCCTAAACGTTTTGGGCAATTACACCCAAACTAAATTCCAGCTTTCCCTTTGTGATATGGAACCTTGTAGTACAATTTCAGAAAGATCCATACATTACACACAAGTTATTATCATGAAACTAGAAAAATGCTTGTTTTTTGCCCCTTTTTTTGCCCCTAATTCCTAAAATTTTGAGGCAATTACCACCAAAATCAATCCCAGCCTTCCCTTTGTGGTATGGTAGGTCACAGTACAATGTCAGAGAGATCCATACACTTGAACACAAGTTATTGTCTGGAAACTAGAAGAATGCTTATTTTTGGCCCCTTATTCCTAAACGTTTTGGGCAATTACACCCAAACTAAATTCCAGCTTTCCCTTTGTGATATGGAACCTTGTAGTACAATTTCAGAAAGATCCATACACTTACACATAAATTATTGTCCTGAAACTAGAAAAATGCTTGTTTTTTGCCACTTTTTTGCCCCTAATTCCTAAAATTTTGAGGCAATTACCCCCAAAATCAATCCCAGCATTCCCTTTGTGATATGGAACCTTGTGGTATAATGTCAGAGAGATCCATACACTAACACACAAGTTATGTCTGGAAGTTACAAAAATGCTTATTTATGGCCCCTTTTTGGCCCCTAATTCCTTAACTGTTGGTACCATAACCCCCAAAATCAATCCCAACCTTCCTTTTGTGGTATTGAACCTTATGGTAAAATTTCATAGAGATCCATTCACTTAAACTAAAGTTAGAGTGCGAAAACCAATGTGTCTTCGGACGACGACGCCAACGTCATACCAATATACGACCTCAAAATTTTTTTTGCGGTCGTATAAAAATAAGAGCACGTGGAAAGCGTGACTGGTGAGTGAATTGAAAGAGCCATGACATTTGTTTTTATATTTTCCATGTGTTCCCATCTGTTAATTAAACTATTCCTTAACAGTTGTTAAATGAATTGTTGTATTAAATTTGTTTCTTTTTAGAATATGTTATTTCTATTTACCGGTACCTTCAAGAGCACGTGTGTTTACATTCTTTCATCACAGTTTTCCCCTCACACTTGCGCTGTGTGGTGGTCGAAGTTATAACTATAGTGGTCTCGTAGTTAAGGTCACTGCATACAGGAAAATATCGGTGAATTAGTGTCTGGGAAGTCAATAATTCAATAGTGTTACATTTATGAAGATTTTGATAACATGAAAGATTTTCTTTTTAAAAAAAGATCACGTTCACTTCTTTTAGAATAAAATTTAACCATTCAAGTGTATAAATTATGTTCCACTTTTTTTTTAAATTTGAAGTTTCATATGACTTTAAGAAAGGATACCATTTAATTCTTCTCCTTTAGGCCAGTTGGGTTGATAAGAAAACAAACAAGAACTACAATATTTAGATATTTATTGCAAAGCCGTTCAGCCTAGTATCATTCTTACCAATGTGACAATGAAAAGTAATCACATAAAACTCATGTACAATCTTGATGAGGAATTCTCAAAATCTTCTACAGGTTGTGTATGTACAAATGCATTTCACACAATAAACTAATTAATCTTAGAAGTGAAAAATGTTGACAAAGAAGTGTCAAGTTCTTACTAATTTACTTTAACAGTTTAAATATCTGGTATTTGTAAAGCTTTACTGGTTGTTTTCTTCAAATAAAATAACAGACAGCTTTAGATTTTTTTTTTTCAATAGCAAGACAGAAAAAAATCATTCTTTTAGTCTTCATAAATTAGCTAAATAAAAATTTTAATTCCATACAAAATTTTATTATCCAATGGCACATTGTTCAAGTAATTGACTTTCTTCTTTTAAAAAAAGGACAATCAGAAAATTTACTCTTTTTAAAATGAAGTAACCGTCCCAATATAATGAAACAATTGAAAACAAAAAGTCTGGTATTTGTGAACAACATAATATTGAAGTAATCAGTATATATAACCAATGCATGTAAAATTAATCAAAGTTACTACCCACATTCCAGATTCTACAACATCAAAGAGCATAAGATCATAATATCCAAAATAAAACTAAAATCTGTATTCAATTTATTTTCAATAAGTTTTTATTTTGCTTACTTGAAAGAGTAAAATTTTGACAGTTACAAAACATTATTACCATGAAGTTAATTTCAGAGTAAAGTTTATCAGTTTCTACCTCTTAGAATCCCAATGATGTCTCAAGAAAAGATTGTTTATTTTATTGTTCACAGTTGCCAGAAATGAATTCTCAAGTTTCAACTGAACATTTAAGTAAGCAATATTTGGCAAATGGCTATTTTTTCCTTATTTTTTTAGATAAAACAATTTTCCAAGTTAACAACAAACATTAACAAAATAATAAATAAAATCAATGTAACAGTTAAGACTGTATCAGTCTAAGAACTAAAACTTCAAACAATTCAGAAAAAAACACTATATATAATATATGTATATATATCACTGTACACATCAAACATTGATGGTATGTTTATCACATCTAAAACTGATCACATTTACACTATATATATACACAACAATCATTTCTAATATACTGCTCCATTACATTAATATCCCAAATTAATAAATATAAAAAAAAAAACAAGCACTTAAATTTAAACCAAGGAAAGCACTCAAAAATAAATGATAAATAATCAGGTATTATCAGTTAATTGCAACATATCTGGTGATCACAACAAATTGAAACTTTACAGATCTATCAATTAAAATAATCTTCATACTGTAAATTTTTTAGCCTTAAGTTATCCAGCTCATTAATATCAATATTTACAAAACTCTATAAATGTTGTCTTGTACTCAGACAAAAGAAAAACAGGGGATTATCACAATTATAGAAATAACAACCAAAATTAAAGGGCATCATGCTCAAATCAAAATCGTGGCTCTTGAATCAACTTGTACACTAGTAGATTAACCATAAAAATAAAGAGATGTTTACATCACACTTTCATGATATATATTTCTAAATGTATTGTGGTAATGTTGATATCTATTTGTTTGCAATACTTAGGTTTTTCTACCAAAAGGCACAGATTCTTTACTTCAAATTGTAAATGATTTGGCCTTCAGACTGCTTTGATTCAAGCACCACTGATGAGTCTTGTGTACATAAAAAAGCACATCTGGCTTGCCACTTTATAAGACAGATATCTTAATACAAACAAAAATATTAACATAATGGAGCAGTATACTCAGCACTACAAAAAAAAAGCACACAACATGAGACATAATGTTAATGAAAGACAGCAAAGACAAGTATTACAGCACTTAAATTAGAAGGTCACATGATATTCATATGAGATTTGTACAATATATGCATGTGTAATGAAAAATGAGTTAATTCACTTATGCATCATCTTATAACACTTTTTAGATCTTTATCATAATTTATTTCATCCTTGGATTACACCTGACTTCCATCTTACTCCCACAGTTCTTTAATCTCTTAGGTTTATGATGCAAACCTTCATGTTCATTATCTGACAATAAATGAAATAACAGAATTACTCATTCAAATGACAAATTATGACATTCAGAGCCAGCAATTCTATTCAGTTCATGTATCCTGCAAAATATGAAAACCCAAACAAAATATGAAGAGAAAAACATGACATGTGTGATGGTTAATGTATTGAGATTCAAACATTACTGTGGTTATATAAAACAATGTGGTAAGTCAACTTTGACTTCAAAAATTGAAAGACTTTACTGATAACTTTTACAATGTCATTTTATAAAAATTTTGTCATATCACAACAATTAAAAAAATATATTTTCATTTCATATGTGTTTTGTGGCAAATATTACTTGAAACTTTTTTTATAGATCTACAAAATGACATCATCATAAAAAAATTTCCTTTAATATTCTATGAATACAAAAATTAAGTTTTCATCTTAAATGAATTTGATTGTAAGCATTCTTTATTTTCTGATATAAAGATTGTGGTGTTGTTGTATATGGGTTCAATATTCAAAAGTTACTTTTATAACCATAAGAATGTTAAATATATTGTTATTCAGGTATCTCTGTTGTTTACACTATTACATTTTAAATTTTTGTAAAGTATTACCTCTTTTCACCACAGGAGTTGTCTACCTTTTTTGTATATGAATTGTTGGGTTGATACCAGTACTGCATACTTTCTTGTGTTTTTTTTTTTTTTAATTTTTGGGACTAACACTTACAAAATTTGAGAATTTTGCAGAACCTGAAGTATTACGACAATCAAACTGACAAACATTTCAGATAATTTTGTAAAAAATGGAAATTGCATTATATAAATAATCATTTTTTGTCTGTGCTACAATATTACCTTAAATGAATTTAAATAATTAAATGTCCAAAATTCTTACACAAATAATGTGATTGGAGATAGCTCTAAGACAATATTCAAAGATGAAGAGGAAATTATGAAAGAAAAAAATTGTTATTTTGTCATAAAATGCCTAGTAACTTAAATAATATTGTAAAATTTTATAATAAATGTTTGAAAATTGACCGTCTATCAAGTAGTGTTTATTACTGATGCTTAATCTGTTTAGTAATTGGCAATATAATGGTCACCTTTATTACTATCATTTTCTACTGCATCAAATAGATACAAGTATTATAAGTTTCTTGTTCAATTGTTCACATACAAATAACTTTACATAAAATAATTCAAATAGTTTTACAAAAAAATATTTTTTTTATAATAAGGCTTAAATAAAGTATGCATGTGGTTCTTATTACATTCTATGAACAAAACAGGGTATTCAAAGTAGCTATGACATAAATAAATAAAACAAAACAATCAGAAGAGAAATATTTCTTTTTAATATTTAGTATTTGAAACATGTGAAAAGAAATAAAAAATTAAATAACTAAAAAAACTTTTATTTTGCAATCAGACAGAAAAAGACTGTTAAATTAACTAAATACTAGGAAAATGCCATGTAATCATTTACATGTGCATAAGATTTTCATATTTTGTTGATAAAAATTGGTCTTTGTCCGTCCGTCCGTCTTGTTGATGTTTATTTTTATCCTTTTCAGAAATTTTCTATTATTCTGCATCATTTCATACAATTTGTTCTACCACATAAAACTTAAATGAAATATTAAGGCTAATATATGGGTAAAGAGCATACATGTAATAGGAACCAAATGTACATCTTATTTTACTTCAATATCAAGTGCTTACAATTCTGACAACTTTTAGCTACATGAAATAAAGTGTTACATGTTATACATGTAAGTTAATAACCACCAGAACTATATTTTTGTATAGCTGTTCCCTTCATTATACTTATAACAACAGTCAAAAGGATTTCTTCATTAAGTTTCTTTTCTTTAAACATGTTAAACTAAATGAGGAAAATAAAGAGTCTTAAAATAATACTCTTAGAACTACTCAATGTTTTCTATTGGTACAAGATTTTTCTATTGTACAAGATGTATGAACTTTTTTTTAAAAATTAAACATAAATGTTTACAGTGTTTGATATTTAAGTCAGAACACAGACTAGTTTGCTGTTTTCCTGAAGAGCTTCATTATAAAGTTTATAAGTATAATGGAACAGTCTCAAATTTCAAGCCTACAAGATAATATGGACTCTGAACACTAGACACATGTAGTGTTAAAAAAAACATGAAAGAGAGGAGACATGGGGAACCCAATTTTATATAAATGCTGTGACGGATTCTTAATTATTTATTCTGTTATGACAATTAATACAATAATTCCTTCTTAATGAAAAGCTGGAAACCAAATGACATATTGTTCGTTATTATGTTATCATCCCTCACCATAACAAGCAGTGAAGTTAAATATTTCCTGAGATAAAGTAAAGGAGTGTGAGATCCAATTAATGCTTATTTTCATATACATGCAATCTGACATAATTCTTATTTCTTAATAGGAATTTCTTCACGATTTATAGTTTCAATCTTTATTTTAGTATAAAGTCTTTTTTTTTCATTCTCTGACTAAGATGTTGAAAATTGTTATCAGAGTTTCCTGATCTAAAATCTAAACTTCATGAACACTTTCTACTTGAAAAATTAATTTCAAATATTTTATCTGTTTACAAATTGAGTAGTCTACCTTAGACTGCAACTCTTTACATCAATTTCAGACTACCTTGACTTATGGTAGGTCAAAGAATTTCATACATACAAAAGTATATACTAAACACTTTCTGAATAATAAAGCATGTTGAATCAAACTCTACAACATATACTGAAATAATCAACCAATTAAATCACTCCAAATGATCACATGTATCCAGTTTTGATGATGGTGATTGTGCACCGGATACAACGGAGGAAAATGAACATTCTTTCATACAGTGTCCAGTTTGAACTTAGCACTATTCTATCCATGAACACTACATTCAAAAGTAATGAACCATTAAGCGTCCATATGTCGCAATGCACAAGATTCTGAAAAAAAATGATATGATCTGGTCATATAACATTTATCTGTCGTCAGTCCCATCCATTGTCTTTGATCATGTGGGCTAGTTCTATAATGAATTTTCCTTCCTTGTATTTTTGACTAGATTCAAAGGCATGTTCCTACAAATAAGAAAAAATAAGTTTAATAAAGATTCTTTTTTTAGGTTGGCATGCATAACGATTAATCATTTTTGTATTTTGGTAGGGGAATAAATCAGAAAAGGATATGTCAAATGCAATACAATCATACTGGAAAAGCAATTTAACTGGACTTAATTTATCAAAAGATTGCAAGTAAACTAGAACTTAACATCAGGTATTGTCTTAAAGAAGATCCACTGATTTAATTACTAGAGGGAAAGTATTATCTTTGTGCCTTATGAAGATCTTTACCGATATGCCATGAATTATTCCTTTTGGAGATATCAACTTATACTCAATTCATTTACTGCCAACATATGAAACAAGGATATCATAAGAGTGCTTTTTTACAACCTGCTGAAGAATTCAGGTCATTTTTAAGAACTAAGAATACTATAGAATATAAAGATTGAAGCAGTTTGAGACAGAGAGTATCTTTCCATCTTAAAGTGTAATATACTGAAGACCAAATGACTATACTCCAACACTTATAACAGATGAACTGAGAGGTTACCTTAAATCCATAAAACTTTCCTGGGTAATCTTTTTCCCTTAAACTTTTCCTTTCTATCATTGACAGAAAAATCTGTTTTCTCTGTCACTAAACTATTGTCTGATAAATAGTCTGAAATATTCTTAAATTCTCCAAGGACTTAAGTTAAGACAGTAAAAGTCTTTATTCAGACTATAAACCTCTTAGTTCAGGATATCCTGTGAAAACTTTCACATCGTGTTTCTACAAAATTTTAAAATACAAATGATGATTAAGTGGTTTATTTTTAGGAACAGATTTCAACATATGTAAAATTGACATGCAAAGTGTATGTAAATATTTGTTTTGACACTACAGGTAGACTTTTAACAGGTAAACAGACATCTTTCTACCTTGAACTCTTAACAAAATAGTCATCTTAAATACTTAAATCAAACAAATACTTAATAATAAACAAACAATTCATTTCAAACAGATAAGCTTAATAACAATAATAATCAGACATAGATCAGGCCTCAACATACTGGTAGTCTATTGTTTTCATTTCTTTTGGAAAAACAATCTTCAAAAACTTTACTTGTTGATTTATAAGATGACCAGCTGAAAATTATTAAAAGTAAAAAACATAGAACTGCAATTTATGGTCTTTTGGATTCATATTCCTTAGTACATGGCTTGCAATACAAACACAAGGGATATAAAATGGCTTATGATACAATCAAGGACTAGCAGTAACATATCTACAGGTCTTAAAATACATAATAAAGGTCAAATATATTACACTACAGGGTTTATGAAACCCTATTAGACTTAAATATCAGTGTGGGACCACCATAAAACAAGACCAGGCTTATCACAGCTACAGGGAATAGCATGTGATACTACAGGGTTTGTGAAACTCTATTAGACTTAAATGTCAGTGTTGGACCACCATAAAACAAGACCAGGCTTATCACAGCTACAGGGAATAGCATGTGATACTACAGGGTTTGTGAAACTCTGTTAGACTTAAATGTCAGTGTTGGACCACCATGAAACAAGACCAGGCTTATCACAGCTACAGGGTATAACATGTGATACTACAGGGTTTGTGAAACCCTATTAGACTTAAATGTCAGTGTGGGACCACCATAAAACAAGACCAGGCTTATCACAGCTACAGGGAATAGCATGTGATACTACAGGGTTTGTGAAACTCTGTTAGACTTAAATGTCAGTGTTGGACCACCATAAAACAAGACCAGGCTTATCACAGCTACAGGGTATAACATGTGATACTACAGGGTTTGTGAAACCCTATTAGACTTAAATGTCAGTGTGGGGCCACCATAAAACAAAACCAGGCTTATCACAGCTACAGGGAATAACATGTGATACTACAGGGTTTGTGAAACCCTATTAGACTTAAATGTCAGTGTGGGACCACCATAAAACAAGACCAGGCTTATCACAGCTACAGGGAATAACATGTGATACTACAGGGTTTGTGAAACCCTATTAGACTTAAATGTCAGTGTGGGACCACCATAAAACAAGACCAGGCTTATCACAGCTAAAGGGAATAACATGTGATACTACAGGGTTTGTGATACCATCAGGGTTCAGGGACTGTGCATTATCTTAGGGACTAACATATCACTTTAGTAGACCTGTATTGACATTGTGACCATCATTTAGAGGGCTTTCAATTCTCAATTCTCAATATAACAATGAGTCAATGCCTGAATCTGTGCCTGATCACCTCATGATTGCAGACTTACATATTTCCAGCCGAGTGTAGTTTTACAGCATTCACAGAATATATCTGCTACAGCATGTAAGCCTGTTAGTAATACTCTTTCTTCTGCAGGACCACAGCCCACATTTACACTGAAAAATACAACAGCTGTTATAAGACTTTATATATAACTTTATCTATTATTGTGGTATCTGTTCATTACAGATAATGGGATAGCGATAAAGACCCGATTGTACCTGAAAAGTGGAAATTTAGCAAGGGCTTTATAATTTTTACTAATTTCTGGATTAAAACTTTAAAACATAAAAATTTCCTATCCCCTAATTTGACCTTGATGGAAGATAATAATTTTGGGCAAAAAAATGTGAAAAAACAAGCATTCTGGGAGTATTGCATGGCAATAAATAGTCCCCTACCAGGTAAAAATTCATTATACTGGAACAAAATGCTAGTTCAAAAGTTCTATAACTTGTCATGGTGTAAACAAAAAGAAAATATCAAGTCAATATCTTCAAGCATGACTAAAAACAGTGTGGAAAACTGAATATATTAGTGAATTTTTTCAAGTCCAAGGACCATAACTCTGCACAAAATTATCAGACCAAAACAAAAATTTGAACTTGATCTGTAACTTGTCATGATAAAACTATATACCAATTGTCAATCAATATCTTCAAGCATGATGAAAAAAAGTGTGGAAAACCTATAACACTCTAACATTAGACATGATTAATAGTTCTCTAAAATTAGATATGATGTAATACAATGTAAATCTATTTTCAAATTACAATCAAATATAATTAATAGTTCCAAATATTTTTTCTTTCATTTGTCACAAACAAATATAGATTTGTAACTTATCTATAAAATGTCAACAACTTTTATCTACACAATGTAATGTAATGAAATATATACCTTAATAAAAATAGATTATTATCTAATTAAAGGATTTCACTTAATAAAAAAAAAATATATATATATATATACATGTAGCATTCAGAAAATTAGTTTATACAAAAAAACCTGCCACAAAATTCCTCAAACAATTTACCAAAGAATGTCTTTTAAAAAATGAGTTATCTCCCTTTGTACAGACATATGGTTTAATATAGTACTCTTAACATTAGTTATGGAGTTTTTTTATGGACTATAACTCTAGACTAAATCATCAGACCGGAACAAAATTCGAACTTGATCTATAACTTGTCATGATAAAACTATATACCAAATATTATATCAATATCTTCAAGAACGAAGAAAATAAGTGTGGAAAACTGAGTTGCCGGACTGACAGATGGACAGACGGACAGAGTGCAAACTGAAAGTCCCCTTCGACTTTGTCAGTAGGGGACTAATAAACATCTTAAACCAGGTTTGTTGTTTGAAATTGCGAATTTAAACCCTCACAGGGCAAATAAATAACTTTAAAGTAATAAACATCATGAATTTAGTATTATTGTCAAATTAATCTTCAGAAACAGTGTCTTCTAACATATTAACAAGATTTTAATCAAGATATATTTCTATTTTAACATTTTAGTCTCAATACTGCAAGCTATAAGCATTTAGCATTGTAATACTTTATTCAAGGGAATAATATTCACAACAGGGTAAACCTATAAGTATGGTGATCTTTGTAAAATCTAATCCTGTCAATTGGTGTATATACAGGCACTTCTTGTCTGTCATAGCTACTTTAATAAAATACTGAAAATAACAACTGTGACAATATGTCTAACTTTGGACTTTGATCTCAGACAGCTCATTACATAGTACAAATCTCACAACAAACAATAACAAAGATATTGGTCAACAATAATATTATTATGTACCAACTGACCTATAAATCCAGTCCTTATTGACTACAGGTATAGTTTATAACCTAATTTAATGACAGACATGTATTTTGTTGATATATTGTTCAGAAAGGAACCAACCTTAATACAAAGTCTTTCATGAAGCTCTGTAATGGCATTTTACCATATTATTAATTTGCATAACAATGATGTAAATTATAACATTCTACGTCTATATCAACCATTCTAATGCAATTCATTTAGAACGATAATTTTCATTGGACGTTGGCAAATATTTTGAAAGGTTACGTAGATTCCACGATCTACCAGTCCGAAACTAAAGTAAGCCACCATTTTAAATTCCATATTTTAAAGGTATGTAATTTCTCAAAAAATAAACAAAAGTCACATTTTGTGCCTCCAAATCTTTTTTTTTGGTCAATATTTAAACCATTCAGAAGTGTACGAAAATACATCTAGTGTTTTATTTTAGCCAAAATATTTACTAAAATGGAATTTATTTTAATATGCAGCAAAGAATGGAGATAACTGTACTGTATTTTAAGCTTGGCCTTCGTAAAAAATGATTTTACTGTCACAAATATCTGTTTACACAGAGACACTTGGTAAACTCAAATTGCCACATGCAGTTAAATCTACGTTTTACAAAGGCAAAGCTAAAATTACAATACACTTATCTCCTTAATTGCCTCAGCAGGTGTGTAGCAACAGAGCAGCATCCCAAAACAAAACTATCCTAAAAAAAATAGGCAAACATAATGCCCAATTTTGATTTTTCTTTAATGATATGGGTCAATACTAAATGGCAATCCAATCGCTTAGAAAAAATCTTCTACCTAGATCTGGCTACAAAAAGGAAAGCAAAATATTTATACAAGTGTCACCCAGGTTTCTTGAGGGTTTATTTTTAATTTAATTTTTTATATGTATGTGAGAAATAAATTCGTTTATTTTTCATTTTACCTTGTGGACCATAATACTATTCACTCTAAGATACTTATATATCCATTCAATAAGTTATGATGGAATCTACATTTAACAACTTTTTCTTCAGATATACTGGTACTGTATGACTTAAACTAGTATACATGTACACAGAATTCCCAGAATTCATCAATTTAGACAAAGGATTTTAAATTTGTGTCTTAACTTTTCATGTTCTTAAAGGTATTTAAACCATATAAGCTTCACTGACTACTTGATCAATACAGTCTGATCTATTATTGGTGTGATCAACATGATCAATCATGTAACCTACTTTCACTTAATACAACAGGAAAGTCCAACAAACCTACTTACTTATAATTACACTGCAATTAATAACAGATTAAAATGAAACAAATCAATCTGATTTAATGAAATAGTTTGACGAAAGAAATAGGTCACCAATTTGTGTCAACCTGTTCATTTTGTATATAATAAAGTCAATTCACAAAGGGATGTCAATAGTAGTGACTACCCTTATATAAGTAAGGCATTATATTCAATATCTGCTGTGATGAAACATTTCCAGAATAAGGTCAAATAAGCTGAAGAAAGCTGATGCTGTTAAGTCTCTACTAAAACAAAATCGATATTATTTAACAAAGACAAGTCTTAAACCATCCAATTAGAATTAGAACACGACAATGATTCATCTATGTCATGACAAATATTATTTCTTGGACATGTAGTAAGTGTTCCTATAATAAATCATACTCAATTCATAATCAATTCTTCTTCCTGTCACTTTTTCTAAGCTTTCTTTAAATGAATTGTAATTTTTTGGCAATTACTTAACTTTAACTTTATAACTATATGAACAAGGTGACATTAGCTTTAACTAGAAGTTCTACTGGCTGGTTATTGTATCAAGGTAACTGATTTCTTTGGACTGACCAGACAGCTCTCCCATTTGGGCATCTTACATCTTTGGAACAGTACACATAAAAGTTGAATACACTCTCAAATTTATTCAACATGTTCTTTTATGCCTAACCAGATCAGTATGAAGTCCATTAAGCCCACAAATAAAATAATAGTTTACAAATACTGTGAACCATAACTAGTAAAACACTGTTTGAGGTTCCCTCTACCCATTTCTAACACTCAATATCCAAAACCATGAAAAATCTTAAATATTAAAACCCCAAAACAAGTGAAAGAATTTCATAAGACTTGGTCAACCTGAACTATAGATTTTATGGAACTCATTCAAACTGTGTCTATACAGAAAGATACATCCATACAACAATTTAAAATACAACTAAAAAGGACTATTCAACTTAGGAACTTATAAGAATACATACATGAAATATAATTATTGCCAAAAAGGGTCAACGAGTTTCTGAGAATTTTTATTAATTTAAGGCCAAAAATGTTGCTGAAGGTTTTACCCTAACTCAAATGCTTTTTTTTTTAATTCCAAATTGTAATAAACTACTGTCATGACTGTATATTTCTAATCTTTAGACATTGATCTGTCTTTTTTGTAGAAACTTCTGCATAAAAATGTAAGAAGATGGAATTAAATGAGAAACATGGTGATGGCCTTTGTGTGCATATTTGGTTATAATAGGATGAAACATAACCATACAAGATAATAACTAACAACTAAAGTACATTTGGAAAGACTAAAAACTTCAGACAATAATGAAAACCGATAGTGACGACTCTATTTTTCTATACTCTAATACTCATATAGACAAACAATATCTTTTATTCAAACAATAATATGGTAAAACATTATAAATAAAGATTGTGCCATGAGCGCATGATACGCCCATCGCCTTTTAATTATGCTTTCAATCAATATATATGATCAACTAGAAAAACTGTGAGCACTGCTCAATTAGAAACTCTCCCCACACCCCCCCCCCCCCCCCCCCCAAAAAAAAAGACATTTACACACAGTGGTACTTATTGACACAAAACATGAACAATTTGGCACTTTTAAGGCTATCTCAAGTTTAACTAATTTTGTGGCTTTGATTTGAACGAGTTCTCTATCTGTTCAAAGTGTGAAAAATGGATAGTTTTCAACAATTTCTCAATGAATAAAGTTCCATAACCCGGGCCCACAATGTCAAATCAGAAATTTATTAAAAACTAAAGGGAGCTTATTTCAATAGATATGAATAAGTCACCGGAGTTTCAAAAAAAATGCTCAAAGCATTTATGAGCTGTTGTCCAAAAACTGGAAACTCACCCCTTTTTTATGAAAAAAATCCCAATACTCCAATACGTAAAATTAGGAATTTTATAAAAATTGAAAGGAAACTTATGTCAAAATATATAAACTATTATTCACCAAAGTTTCATTAAATTGTTCAAAAGCATTTTTGAGTTATAGTCAGAATTATAATGGAAATAAACACCCATTTTTTATTTAATAAAATCCCATACCTCAGAAGCGTAAAATCTGAAATTCATAAAAATCAAAAGGGAGCTTTCGTCAATAGATATTAACAATTAATCAAATTTTCATGAAAATGGTGAAAGCGTTTTTAAAGTTATTTTTCGACGTGTTGACAACTGACGGACGGACAACGGTATACCATAATACATCCCGTAAAATATAGATCCAGCTTTCAGCTAGATTTTCTAAATTATCAAACTATTCAATTCAGTTTATTCTAATTTAACTGCATATATTCATTGGAAATCTGACCTTAGTATGGTATTAATAATAAATCATTTTGTTGACCATAAAATTGACTCTGAGTGCTAATTTCCTTAAGGAATACCTAAACCATAATTGACATGTTTTGACTGTCAGTAAATTGGAGAATATTTAACACTTAAAAACAAATCAATGCTGCAATGCCATAAAGGACATTATCCTTGTCTGAAAAACATTAAATTTTATTACTCATCAGTGTGAGTCAACGACCTTGACTTAGCAGGTTTATGCATGTATAGATTCTATGGAACAAAGATTTCGGTTTTGAATGAAATGGATGTGTGGATCCCAAGTAAATACCAAATTAAATGTGTCTGTAAGACATGAATGCCTCAATCCTTATTGGTAAAACATAGTCACAAAAAATGTCTGGAGAACTGCTTGGCTTGATTTCAGTGGAAAAGAATGCACACATCAGAAACAAGCTTCAGGATAGGGAAAAACAAAATGAATGTTTCAAAGGTAGAAATAAGTCAAACATCCTTTATATGAACTGTTTGCAACTAAAAGTTTAGAAACCAATACTCAACAAATGAAGTCAACAACTATTATGTTCCCTTGGAAGTGAAAAAAATTAAAAAAAAGATGGTTCATTTCTTTGAGATACTAGACATCAATATTTTGTCTTAATTATAGTAAATAAGAGGTTCAACAACTTTATTGTATTTTGTTTTCCCAAATAATGTCATTGTATAATTCAATATTTTTAGCTTCAAGGTTTTCTCTAACCAAATTCATAAAGATCTGTAAATGAAAATTAAATTTAACTAATGAAAGTAGAGAAATATTGCCTCCAGGTGATTCTGTGGGGTTTAAATCATATTTATTTCTGTATGTCCTTCTGCAATGCATATATAATAGGAACAATTTCTGAATCCTTTTTTGTTTAACCAGCTGACTATTTTATTTTTTCTGAGAAACAAACTGTTATTGTCTATACTTACACAGAATTAAACAGGTAAGCTCTCCCTTGACTCCCTTGAAATGACTGAAATTGAAAAAAGATAAAGATAAAATAAGAACAGGAAGTATTTCTGGAAAACAATGACCTGTTATTTTTATTAAATAAGAATTTTTTTGTGTGTTTGTTAACCCCATATATATACACTTAGAAGTTGTGTTCTTTCTTGTAACAATTCAAACAAATTTCCTAACAAAAAGAATTTTGTTGCCATTAGTTTTTAGGGAGTGCACACACTGAAATGTCTCCTCTGCTTTATTTATCGTGATTTAATTTATGTTGAAAGTCTTTAATATGAAGGTTTTACTTCAAGTTTCACATAATTTTTACATTATCAATGATTCATGTAAATGAGGTCAAGGTCAGATCAACTCTGTCAGACACAAATGTACACCTTAAAATCATACCATACATCAAATAGATTTACCTATTGCTATAGTATCTGAAGAACAGACCTTATTATGAAAATTTACACAAAAATAAAATGTAACAATGACCAATGAACAATAACTAGAGGCTCCCAAGAGCCTGTGTCGCTCACCTGTATTTACTGATGCTTTGGAAATCATGTAAAATAAGGTTAAAATCATAATTAATAGTATTAGATATTAGATATTATAATGATATCTAAGATAATAACAAAAAACTGCAAAATTTTTGTAAAATTACTAACGCAGGGGCAGCAACCCAACAACGGGTTGTCGGATTCGTCTGAAAATTTCAGGGCAGATAAATCTAAATCTGATGAACATTTTTGCCACCTGTCAGATTTGCTCTAAATGCTTTAGTTTCAGAGATATAAACCAAAAACTGCATTTTACTCCTATGTTCTATTTTTAACCAAGTCGGCCATGATGGTTGGAAGTCGGGGTCATCGGACAAATTTTAAGAGAAGAAGATTTTTGTAAAAGATTACAAAAATTTACAAAAAATTGTTAAAAATTGACTATTAAGGGCAATAACTCCTAAAGGGGTCGACTGACAATTTTGGTCATGACAACTTATTTGTAGATCTTACTTTGCTGAACATTATTGCTGTTTACAGTTTATCTCTATCTATAATAATATTCAAGATAATAACCAAAAACTGCAAAATTTCCTTAAAATTACCAATTCATGGGCAGCAACCCAACAACAGGTTGTCAGATTTGTCTGAAAATTTCAGGGCAGATAGATCTTGACCTGATTATCAGTTTTACCCTATGTCAGATTTAATCTAAATGCTTTGGTTTCAGAGATATAAGCCAAAATCTACATTTTACCCCTATGTTCTATTTTTAGCCATGGTGGCCATCTTGGTTGGTTGGCGGGGTCATCAGACACATTTTTTAAACTAGATACCCTAATGATGATTGTGGCCAAGTTTGGTTAAATTTGGCCCAGTGGTTTCAGAGGAGAAGATTTTTGTAAAAAGCTAACGACGACGGACGACGACGACGCCACGCCTTCGGGCCAGGTGAGCTAAAAATCAGGTCCCAGTCAGATGGAACCTGCCAGACAGACATGAACACCTTTCAATCATTCCATACATCAAATATAGTGGATCTTCAACTATTGCTTGTAGCATTTGAGAAATAGACCAAATTACAAAAAACTTAATAATATTATATTGTCCAATAAACAATGACAAAAAGGTCAAGGTCAGATGAAACCTACCACAAGGACATGTACACCTTAAAACCATTCCATACACGGAAAGACGAACAGCTAAGGGTAACAACTAATGCCCTAATTACCTACCGTAGAGGCATAAAAAACTATCAAAAAATTAAAAATTTTATGAAAAGGACTATAAAAAGTGTCCATTCGACACCAGTCCAAGTCTGTTATCATCTTTATCAATTACACCACTGTTGCTAACTCAAAACATTGAACTCCAGGAAGACTTCACAAGACAACCTAACAAAGACAAAACTATTCAATAATTTAATACTTTGTGTAATATCTGTAAGTTTCATTTTCCTGACCTGATCAAGTTAATGTCCTTTAGCTTAAATTTCATATTCCTATATATACATAAAAATATTAAATGACTGAATAATAGCCAACGATAAATCTTACGGGGCGATGGATCATATAATTATGATACAGTACACTACAAAATATAATATATAACCAGTCTAAAAGGGTACAACATCACCAAATAAAATGCTCTGCTGTGGCGCAGCTTGATACGACCGCAGAGGTCGAACCCTGAACAGTTGGGGCAAGTATGGACACAACATTCAAGCTTGATACAGCACTGAATTTGGATTGTAATTAAATATTTGACACAGCATAGGTTTCTGACACAGAATGAAAGTGGTCTAAGAACTTAAAAATTTTTAATTTACCTATTCAAACCATATCATTATTATTTGCTTTTATATATAAATCAGAAATAACCAATTTAAAATGGAAAATTTTAAAGAAAAAAAGGAAAAAAAAATCCCCCCCCTCCAAATTTTTCAAACCCCCTTATAATTCATCACCCCAAACTCAATCCCAGCCTTCCCTTTGTGGTATGGTACCTTGCAGTACAATTTCAGAGAGATCCATACACTTGAACACAAGTTATTGTCTGGAAACTAGAAAAATGCTTGTTTTTTGGCCCCTTTTTGGCCCCAAATTCCTAAACGTTTAGGGCAATTACCCCCAAACTCAAACCCAGCTTTCCCTTTGTGATATGGAACCTTGCAATACAATTTCATAAAGATCCATACACTTACACACAAGTTATTGTCCTGAAACTAGAAAAATGCTTGTTTTTTTGCCCTTTTATGGCCCCTAATTACTAACATTTTGAGGGAATTACCCCCAAAATCAATCCCAGCCTTCCCTTTGTGGTATGGTACCTTGCAGTACAATTTCAGAGAGATCCATACACTTGAACACAAGTTATTGTCTGGAAACTAGAAAAATGCTTATTTTTTGCCCCTTTTTGGCCCCTTATTCCTAAAATTTTTGGGCAATTACCCCCAAACTCAATTCCAGCTTTCCCTTTGAGATATGGAACCTTGTTGTACAATTTCATAAAGATCCATACACTTACAAACAAGTTATTGTCATGAAACTAGAAAAATGCTTGATTTTTGCCCCTTTTTGGCCCCTAATTCCTAAAATTTGGAGGCAATTACCCCCAAAATCAATCCCAGCATTCCCTTTGTGATATGGAACCTTGTGGTACAATGTCAGAGAGATCCATACACTTACACACAAGTTATGTCTGGAAGTTACAAAAATGCTTAAATTTGGCCCCTTTTTGGCCCCTAATTCCATAACTGTTAGTACCATAACCCCCAAAATTAATCCCCACCTTCCTTTTGTGGTATTGAACCTTATGGTAAAATTTCATTGAGATCCATTCACTTAAACTAAAGTTAGAGTGCGAAAACTAATGTGTCTTCGGACGACGACGATAACCTCATACCAATATACGACCACAAAAATTTTTTTGCGGTCGTATAAAAATAACAATAAAATGAATAAATGTAACTATAAATATTTCGGATAACAGATATCCTTCATCAGTATGATCACGATGTAAAATGAATCTTATCAACCTATTCTGATTATAAAACTATAGCAATCTTGAATTCTATACAAAAAAAAGTTTTACCAGAACATCATAGAGAAGCTAGTACAATTCTAAAATTTCCAAACCCGGCGCAACGACATACCAAAAATAAAAATAGTAATAATTTGCGATATGAGCTTGCACAACTTTAAAATTCCAAAGGTGACGACAGTTAAGATGTTACAACAACTTTGTGGAAATACATTCCCAATAAACAGCACTAACCGATCTAAGCTTGTATAATATTTCAAATTTGACATCGGCAGAGTAATTAAAACACCCCAAATAAATAGCAATTTGATAATGATAAGAAAAATAATTGAACGTGACTGCATACTTTTACATCCCAAATTAGTAGAACCCTGTAATTAAAACTAGTAAATTACTGCGACTCTTTTCTGTTTGTACTGTAACAGGTCATTGCGGCTGTTATTGTTGGCACGCGCAAACCCCTTATCTATGTCCCATTTTTTATAACCTCTTTTGGTAAAAAATCCACGAATATATATATATATGACTTACATTCAATCACTTCAAAGATACATTTATTGTGGAGTTGGATTCCATATAAACTTTAACATAAATTTGAAAGAATCTGATTCAGCCAGTAATGTCACACACCACAAACACCCCTGATTAATATTAGCAAAGAGGAGTCATCCAGCCCAAAAATGAACCCAATCGGAATATTTTATATCATGAATTTATCTAAGGTGTTATATATCTTTTGAGTGGAGTTCTTTTCAAGAAAACAAAACATTTCTACATGACATGAATAACAATATGATTAGAAGAAAATTGATCTTCCTGTTAGAATTTTTTTTTATACCAAAACAAAGGAGTAACTGTCATGACTGTATTGAGTAAACTTTTCAAGACATTTGAACAGTTTAATGTTTCTCATTTTAGATCCAAAACAAGCTCAGTTTTTGGTGGTCTCGCAATCAGAATCCAAGATATACAATTTTGTGTTCATTGTGGTGATATTTGTTTTTTTTCCATACACTTGAACACAAGTTATTGTCTGGAAACTAGAAAAATGCTTATTTTTTGCCCCTTTTTGGCCCCTTATTCCTAAAATTTTTGGGCAATTACCCCCAAACTCAATTCCAGCTTTCCCTTTGAGATATGGAACCTTGTTGTACAATTTCATAAAGATCCATACACTTACAAACAAGTTATTGTCATGAAACTAGAAAAATGCTTGATTTTTGCCCCTTTTTGGCCCCTAATTCCTAAAATTTGGAGGCAATTACCCCCAAAATCAATCCCAGCATTCCCTTTGTGATATGGAACCTTGTGGTACAATGTCAGAGAGATCCATACACTTACACACAAGTTATGTCTGGAAGTTACAAAAATGCTTAAATTTGGCCCCTTTTTGGCCCCTAATTCCATAACTGTTAGTACCATAACCCCCAAAATTAATCCCCACCTTCCTTTTGTGGTATTGAACCTTATGGTAAAATTTCATTGAGATCCATTCACTTAAACTAAAGTTAGAGTGCGAAAACTAATGTGTCTTCGGACGACGACGATAACCTCATACCAATATACGACCACAAAAATTTTTTTGCGGTCGTATAAAAATAACAATAAAATGAATAAATGTAACTATAAATATTTCGGATAACAGATATCCTTCATCAGTATGATCACGATGTAAAATGAATCTTATCAACCTATTCTGATTATAAAACTATAGCAATCTTGAATTCTATACAAAAAAAAGTTTTACCAGAACATCATAGAGAAGCTAGTACAATTCTAAAATTTCCAAACCCGGCGCAACGACATACCAAAAATAAAAATAGTAATAATTTGCGATATGAGCTTGCACAACTTTAAAATTCCAAAGGTGACGACAGTTAAGATGTTACAACAACTTTGTGGAAATACATTCCCAATAAACAGCACTAACCGATCTAAGCTTGTATAATATTTCAAATTTGACATCGGCAGAGTAATTAAAACACCCCAAATAAATAGCAATTTGATAATGATAAGAAAAATAATTGAACGTGACTGCGTACTTTTACATCCCAAATTAGTAGAACCCTGTAATTAAAACTAGTAAATTACTGCGACTCTTTTCTGTTTGTACTGTAACAGGTCATTGCGGCTGTTATTGTTGGCACGCGCAAACCCCTTATCTATGTCCCATTTTTTATAACCTCTTTTGGTAAAAAATCCACGAATATATATATATATGACTTACATTCAATCACTTCAAAGATACATTTATTGTGGAGTTGGATTCCATATAAACTTTAACATAAATTTGAAAGAATCTGATTCAGCCAGTAATGTCACACACCACAAACACCCCTGATTAATATTAGCAAAGAGGAGTCATCCAGCCCAAAAATGAACCCAATCGGAATATTTTATATCATGAATTTATCTAAGGTGTTATATATCTTTTGAGTGGAGTTCTTTTCAAGAAAACAAAACATTTCTACATGACATGAATAACAATATGATTAGAAGAAAATTGATCTTCCTGTTAGAATTTTTTTTTATACCAAAACAAAGGAGTAACTGTCATGACTGTATTGAGTAAACTTTTCAAGACATTTGAACAGTTTAATGTTTCTCATTTTAGATCCAAAACAAGCTCAGTTTTTGGTGGTCTCGCAATCAGAATCCAAGATATACAATTTTGTGTTCATTGTGGTGATATTTGTTTTTTTTTTATATTTGTTTAATCAGACTTTTTGTTAAAGAAAGAAAAATTAAGGGCTAATTAAGTTTAACACACATCAGTGATGAAAATGAAAATAAATAGGGGGCAGGGGGCGAAGCCCCCGGAAGCTCCTGGATTTTAGGGTTTTAGACCCACAAATATTAACTGAATATTTTGAATGTTAAGGTGTAGTCAAAAACATTTTTGTTTGATACAAGTCAGATTTTTGTGAAAAAATATATATTGTTCCTCAAAGAAACTGTAAAAACCAGAAGATTCCAGAGGGATAAAAAAGTTATATTTACTAACACCAATTTTTTTTAAATTTCCTTTTAGATACTAGCTTTTGATCATAATCAAGCTTCAGTCCAAGTTTGGTAGAAATCAAGGATAGTTTAAGAAAGTTATTGAAATTTTAAAAACTTTAACCACAGAGTGAATGTAATGTTAACTGGCAGAAATATTAAGTCCATTTATAAGTAAAATACGAAAAATGAGGATTTTTTTTTAGAAAATTTACTTCTGGATACTATCTATGATCATAAACAAGCTTCTGTCCAAGTTTGGTAGAAATCCAGGGTTGTTCAAGAAAGTTATTAAAATTTCAAAAACTTTAACTTCACAGTGAATATTTCTGGACGCCGCAGCCACCTATGACGTCGAAACGTAAAGATCGCTATGTCCCGTGTTTTTGACAAAAGTCGCAGGCTCGACAAAAACCACACCATTAAAAATTGTTTGGAGATGAGATGTAAACAATATATTCAGGTTAATATAGTGGGTATCCAGGTAAGGGCAGGATGGTGCCTTCAAATTTGTTAAGCCCTGCCACATTCAGTATGTGCCTATCCCAAGTCAGAAGCATGTAATTCAGTGTAATGGTTGTCGTTTGTTGCTGTATCATATTTGTTTTTCTTTCATTATTTTGTACATAAATCAGGCCGTTAGTTTTCTCGTTTGAATTGTTTGTGTGGATATGAATTATTAAAAGAGTCAGAGTCAATCTCTTTCACCAACAAAAAAGCAAGCCTACTGTCATTTACTTTATCAATCGACGTCTCCTTGTACGCGTGAAGGATATATCTATAGCCTAGAAAGTCGTTCGGTTGTCATCGTATAACGCAGATATGTTTTAACCCGGCACATGACACTGAAACTGCCTTGACTCAGCGGTGGAATTGGTCACAGGCATTGTCAATTCTGCGTTGCATTGTGAATAGCAGAACACCCTGCAGACACAATATTCGTCTGCTATAAATAAAGGGGAAATAAAGCGCTTGTGATGGGAACAAACGCCGGGAGTCTGAGAAGTGATATCGACTCGTTGACTTCTACAAATTTTTGTTTATTTAACTGCACAGTGCCCATTTATTTCCCCCTTCACTTTCTCACACTCCGAGTCTCCTCCCTTTCTCTCATACTTCTAGCTCATTTTTATTTTTTATTTTTTTTTTTTTTTATGATTTTTTTTTTTTGACAAAAAAGATGTTGAAGCCATGGCTTCTGCCTAGCTACGCCACTGTGTGTTTTCTGGTAATAAGCATTGTGCATAAGTTTCGTAACATTTGGTTGAGGCAAACTAAAGTAACAGAACAGAAGCAAAAAATGCAGCAATTTTTCCATTTGTAATGGGGCATAACTCTAGAACAGTAAAGTGTCGCCACAAAAATTCAAACTTGATCTGTTTTTTGTGGTATTAAGCATTGTGTATAAGTTTCATAACATTTGGTTGAGGCAAACTAAAGTAAGAGAATGGAAACGAAAAATTCAGCAATTTTTCCATTTGTAAAGGGCATAACTTTAGAACAGTAAAGTGACGCCACAAAAATTCAAACTTGATCTGTATTTTGTGGTATTAAGCATTGTGTATAAGTTTCATAACATTTGGTTGCGGCAAACTAAAGTTAGAGAACGGAAACCAATTTTGGGGAGTACAGACGGACGGACGGACGTACAGACAGACAAGGGTATACCTTAATGCCCCCTCCACTACAGGGGTGGCATAAAAATCACTTTTCATCTGTTAAATTACAAATGCATCATGTGACATGAATTTTCAGGGAAATCAATCTCCTTATGGCTGTCAATATTGTATATGTTTATAGCTCTTGTTTCACATCAACATGTGACAGAGTGTTTTTAAATAAAAAAATTATTGTTTTGTAAGAGAATGAAAGAAGAATAAGACATGTATGCATATTAAAGATTCATTATTTCAATAACAAGAATAGAAAGAGTCAATTAATCAATAAATGTTTAAGGTAAGAAGCTGATATAACTGACTGACACACAAAGTAAGAAGCTGATATAACTGACTGACACACAAAGTAAGAAGCTGATATAACTGACTGACACACAAAGTAAGAAGCTGATATAACTGACTGACACACAAAGTAAGAAGCTGATATAACTGACTGACACACAAAGTAAGAAGCTGATATAACTGACTGACACACAAAGTAAGAAGGTGATATAACTGACTGACACACAAAGTAAGAAGGTGATATAACTGACTGACACACAAAGTAAGAAGCTGATATAACTGACTGACACACAAAGTAAGAAGGTGATATAACTGACTGACACACAAAGTAAGAAGGTGATATAACTGACTGACACACAAAGTAAGAAGGTGATATAACTGACTGACACACAAAGTAAGAAGGTGATATAACTGACTGACACACAAAGTACATTTATTCCTTTAAATGTTATAATGATTGCAACTACAAATATATATTGCTTTCAAGCTATGGAAAAAGGTCACATAATATGATTACAAGATTAGCTCAGAAAGGACAGAAATATCTTTATTGATTTCAGTAATAATGTCTTAATATAATAACTACCAATGTTATATATATTTCAAAAGACCATTAGCCTAATCACATCAGATTTTGTGTCAAGACTTCCCTTAGTCCAGATGCTAAACAAATTCAAAAACTAAAATAAATTGGATTTTTGCCTCTTCATTTCCCACAAAACAGCTAATAACAAGTTCTAATATTTGTGGTCTTAAATTGACTCAATAAACAAATTTTCCAATATAAATTATAATATTTCTCACCCTCATTACAGTTCCCTTTTTATTGAACACTGTAAAAAAATCTACAAAGTGTGAAGGCCGACACAACATCATACCAAATATCAAAAGCCTTTCATTAGTACCAATTATATTAGCAACTATTTGGTACACAATATATGTATATAAAAATTTTAAAAAATCATACGATTAATCAATTTCAATTCAAATAAAAATGTTGCATTGTTGAAAAGAAATGTTTTCAGAACTAGCTTTGTCATAAATAGCCAGATTGATTTACCTTCTTCATGTTTATTCTTACCTTAGATATCAACTCATCGTGATTGGCTAGGTGAGCTCGACAGTGAACACAGCTATAAGTGCGGTGACATTTGTTTGGCAAATATGCTTGAAAGGTTTTCACCATTTTGAGTGTTCTTAGACATCAAATTATCTAACACGAAACCAGGTTACAGCACCAAAAGTCTGTTTAGCTTTTAACTGGAGTTATCTCCACCTAGTTTGACTTTTATACAACTATCTGTACTGTAAACAGGTATACTGTAAGTAAAAGATGATCTGTACTGTAAACAGGTATACTGTAAGTAAAAGAGGATCTGTACGTACTGTAAACAGGTATACTGTAAGTAAAGGGTGAACTGTACTGTAAACAGGTATACTGTAAGTAAAAGAGGATCTGTACGTACTGTAAACAGGTATCATACTGTAAGTAAAGGGTGAACTGTACTGTAAACATGTCTACTGTAAGTAAAAGATAGTCTGTACTGTAAACAGGTATCATACTGTAAGTAAAGGGTGAACTGTACTGTAAACAGGTATACTATAAGTAAAAGATAGTCTGTACTGTAAACAGGTATACTGTAAGTAAAAGATGATTTGTTGACTTTTATACAACTATCTGTACTGTAAAAAGGTATTCTGTATGTAAAAGATGATTTGCACTGTTCAATCTGAGCTGTATTTAAGCAAACACTGTTTTCTAATTGTTTAAAAAATTTATTTAGTTTAATCATGATCTCTTTGTCTGAGTTTTATCCTGTTACATGTAGTATTTTTATCATTGTCATACCAATCGTGTTAAAATCTTATGACTCACTTATTTGTTAACTTGATATATAATTAAACTTCAAAACCAATCTGAACATATAAAACCTCAATTTCCTTTAGATTTCCAATCGAACAGGTTTTGGTAAAAAGAAACAAAGTCAAATGTGTTCTTTATAAATTTACTCATTTAATGTGAACTTGAAATGCAGACTTCTTCACTTTTGTTACTGAGTGAGGTTTTATAATGTCTGTTTTAGTACCAAAAATATGTACAATTATTTAAACCACAATGATTCAAATATACCTCATGCACCCAATCATACATGTAAATGTAATACACCAAACTAACCTATGCACAAATATTTAGTTTAAACTTTAAAAGAAAGATCAAACAAACTGAAAATTTAATAAATTTCCGACGTCCTGAAGTACAATACATGTATACATGTATGCTTGATTAGAGATATGTGCACATATTTATATTGTTGAAACTTCGGTGTAATCTGATTCAAGGTACAAATAAACAATTAAAACATTTATATACTTCTCTCAATTCTCTTTCTTACATTTGTCCTGATTAAAATTTATTCTTTTTCTGTTTTTATACAGCTGTATTGTGTCAAAATAGTTTCCACTTATATGATAATGATAACCTGTGATCAAATCTTTAAGAATAAATTTTCTTGTAAAATTACATGTAACCTCTTATTCAATGAATACTACTAGTATTTATCTCCTGGCCACATCTCTATAATATGGCAGAATAAACACTAAATCCTAATTGATATTTACAAACATACATATAAATAATAATATATGACCTTGACCATTTTAACAGTGCATAGTAAAACAAAAGATAAGTACTGTGTACAACTAAATATTGGATTGTTATAAAGCTCTATTGAGTGTCATTTTGCCATTCATAAACAGATTATTGAAACTATTTGAATTCTGTCAAAGTGCAAAAGCATTATCAAAACAATGACATTTTCAATTTAATCATTAAATGTCTGCTTAAAACAATGATATTGATCAGCTTAAAAATCTTAATAAAAGACCCAGGAATTATTGCTTTGTTTTTATTGAAATCTTCCTCAATATCACAAAACAATGTACTTATAATTTTATCAGCAAATATATGTACCTACCATCTGTATAATATACATTTACTATAGTGACTATATATTGTACATAAAGTTAATCCTTTTAGTTGAGGATGTTATATATATATTTATAATTACTGCAACTATGCTATTTGCACAGTCAAATTTCATGCACCATGTTGGCGTATATTCATTTTTGAAGTACAGTCACTGAGCGTATAAAGCATTACAGTTTACAATGATGATAATGTGTTTCCTAGAGTTTTATCTATGACATCAAGAAATAATACAGGTTTACGAGAAATTCTTACCTTATCTGTTTGAAATTCAAAATTGATGCCTTTTACTAAAAATGTTTCCTTTGAAACAGTTGTAAGAGTTGAAATATAAAGATAACAACCCTCCATATATTTTCTTGAAATATTTAATTTTATTTACTCTATACTAGCTCTAAACAGGTAAGAAATGCTTGGCACAGCAGCACTTAATACACCTATTTCTATAAAGCCTTGTAAAAATAAATTTTATATTTTAAAACAATCTATATAAATATATCTTGGATTTTCCCATAAAAATCATTGTATAAGTGACAAAGATTCTACACTTAAAATAAACAGTTTCACAGCTTCAATCATATACATGTAAATGTACGTTATATAATATTAGTTTTTTTATTTATTATTAAAATACAAAAAACCTTTAGGTAATGCCTAAAAATATGCATTACTTTTCTATTCACCTGTGATATATGATATAAAAATAATTTAAAAGTACTGGGTACATGTTTTTTCTTAATCTTAGCTTAAACTCTGGTCATTGATAAGAATTTTCTGACTTTATGTCTATTACTAAAATGGCAGTCTTTTAAAAATAGTAGGTAAGAAGTGGGGACTTTTCTATAGTTCTTATTCTGCTTTCATAAACTTTTTGAAAATCTTTTTGATATTTGACTTTTAAATAATTTGTAAATTAATCTCAAGGTTTGAGCTAAAACACAGTCAGTGTAAGCATTTGACCAATGCTACGAAATAAATAGATTGAACTGGTAGGAATGATAGCATTATAAAATGAATGTTTAGTCTAAGACTTTTAAACCTCAGATTTTAATGATTTAATATTTTGGTGAAAAGATGATAGTTTGTTGTTACTTGTATTGTCAGTGTACTTTGATCCTACTTCCTTATGATTATTTAGGTTGGACAGGACATAATATGCATAGGTTATTGGGTTTTCTACATTCTGATATCGTAAAATATTAGCCGCTAGCCACAATGTGAACCTCTTTGGCAAGTGAGCACAGCTCCGTAATCTTTTATCATTCTAATACTGGCCTTTTACCCTCCCTTAAGACAGTTTAACGCTTTTAGAAAGGAAGTTGCTGATAATTTCTCTTCAGACATTGTCACATCACTGATATTAATGTCTGCTCACGTCTCAAAGCCTTGATTATATGTGAACAGAGGGACTTAGCAGGGTGATATAGGCAAAGGGAAGGACGATAATCAAATATATTAGGCAATGACATCTCATAACAATGCAGCAATGTCACGCTATTCATGTCTAGCTGCTTCGATATATCAATGGAATGAAGGTGACGTCATTCATACAACCAAACTACTATCACAATGCTATTCAGTCTAGCTGCTTAGATATATCAATGTAATGAAGGTGACATCATTCATACAACCAAACTACTGTCACAATGCTATTCAGTCTAGCTGCTTAGATATATCAATGTAATGAAGGTGACGTCATTAATACAACCAAACTACTATCACAATGCTTTGTATGCCTAAACTAGAGGCTCTAAAGAGCCTGTGTCACTCATCTAGGTCTGTGTGCATCTTGAACAATGGACACTCTCCAACATTGTGGACTAGAACAGAATTCATGACAAAAATCTCTATATAATTGTTGATCTTCTTTTGCTGATTATTTTTTCTGTTTACAGTTTCTATCGATCTTCTTTAGTTTTTACCCAGAACAAAAAAACGGTATAAAAATCATCATCTAAGGGCAATCACTCCTATACGAATCTAATCTACTGATTTTGGCAAAATTTGTATATCTGTCTTGCTGATCATTATTGATATTCAAAGTGTCTTTCTATCTTTCATAGGTTTCAAGATATTAATAACATGTAGGCAAAAATTGGAAAAAATCAGCATGAAAGAGCAAGAACTCCAAAAAGGAATTTACTGATGATTTCAGCCATGCTGATTTATTTGGGTTGTACATCTTGTCTTGCTGATCATTTTTGCTTTTTAAAGTGGCTATCTATCTATTTTAACTTTCAAGATAATAGGCAAAAACACTAAAAATTGGTAAAAAATCGTTATTAAAGAGAATTAATTCCAATAAGGAGTCAATCAAAGATATCTGTCATGTTGACTTATTAAAAGAACTTGTCTTGCTGGTCATTTTTTCTTTTTTAATTTCTGTCTATCTATTACCTACAGCTTTTAAGATATTAGATAAAAATGCAAAAAAATGCCTGGCATTTAAAATGGTAAAAATTGTCATTACAGGGCAATAACTCAAATAAGGAGTCGTCTGCCGATTATGGCCATGTGATTAATTTGTAGATCTTGTTTTGCTGATCTGTTTTGCTTTTTTTTCTAAAGTGTATATCTATCAGTATATTTTTAAGAAAATAGGCAAAAATATTAAAAATTGGTAAAAATTGTTATTAAAGAGCAATAACTCCAATAAGGAGTTGACCGGTGAACTTGGCCATGTTGATTATATATAGATTTTTTTCTAGCTGATCATTTGTTCTCTTTAAAGTTTCTATCTATCTATTTCAGTTTTAAAGATATTAGACAAAAACGCAAAAAAATGGTAAAAATCATCATTAAAGGGCAATAACTCCAATAAAGAGTGGTCTTAAGATCTCACCCATTTTACTGCTAGAATCTGAGCTTAACTTATATTTTTTACAGCACCAAAGACTTGCTTGTGGTTGCTTTTCAGGCCCATAGCCAGGGGGGGGGGGTCAAGGGATTCGTACGAACCCCCCTATGAAAACAAATTAGCTCTATCAAAGTTGACGTTCTGTTTGAACTGTGACTATCAAAGAGTTGCTGTAACCCCCCTTGGAAATTCCTGGCTACGGGCCTGTTATTTTTCTCAACACCTTACCCCATGTCTCATTGTGTTTAAAAATATACAGGTTTAAACAGAAAAATCAGATAATTATAGGTAAATGTATTTAAAATACATGTACATGCAAAAAAAAAAATCGTTGATTTATGACTGGAAGTTACAATGACTGGAGTCTTGACGTCATTAACAATTAAACAAGAAAGATCAATTAACACCCAGCTGATCCATACATTATTGATTTTGTTGTTTATGACCAGGTATCTACAGGTAGAACTGGAAATACCA